AGTCTTCAGTGGAGCCACCTTTTACACAGCCCAGTTCTGGAATTCCTGAATTAATTGCATCCTAAAAATTTTAATTATTTGTCATAATTTGATAATTTTAAGAAATTTAATAAATTCTTTATTTAATAAAAATTAGAAGAAAAACACCAAAGTAGGACCCTCCAGGATTATTTCTCAAAGATATGTTACAAACTATCATTGAGTTAGTTAATACTTCACAAGCTTGTCATTAACTTGCGGAATCGTTATTATTCAGTTTTGGTTTCTCGCCTATTAAAAGTGTGTAGATTTTCATTCTTGCTATCCAAGAAATTGTTGAAATGTGACTTTATGGCGTCATCACTTCACATCACATTACTTAATAGGTGAGAGTTTGTTTCTCATTACTAACATGCATAAGTATTGATAGAATAAAAAATATATGCGCTTTGTTAACCGTTTCTGATTTATAATAATTCAATCAGTTTTACCAAACAGCATGTCCACATTTAAACATTCGTTTATTAAAATATTGTGTTTAACGTTTAATTATTGTACATTAGCAAATATCATTTCATTTTTGTCTCTCTGTCTATTTTATTGTTAGCACTAAGAGGGTCTTTTAATTAATCAAGCCCATCATGGATTCGATCAGGCCCGCAATGATAAGGAACGTGGACCGATAAATCCGGGATGGACCATTCTCTGAGAAATTTCTGAAGATTTTCGATCAGTCTTGATTCATTCCCGGAGTCCCCAGGGAGTGAATAGGTTGACATGTTAACCGCTCGACCAACCAGTTGTCTGTCTTCACACTGTGTGCACTGAAACGGATTTTTTTTTCAGGACTACTCAGATGGTGAGGGACAAAGCCCAACACAATCGGGTCTCATAGTTTTAAATAAGAACAATATAGCTTTGAATAAGAACAAGAGCGCTTTAATTATAGTTATCCTGTAGCATTTTCTTTTTGCTTTGAAATATGATAAAGACTAAAAATACTAGTAGTAACTTTCATCAAAGTAGTGATATTAATTGTAATGCTTATGATTAAAATATTTTCAAATTAATAAAAAGTAATCATATTTATAAATTATATTTTATTGCTACTAAGTAATATTCACTCATTTTTATATTTATTCCTGTTCTTTACGTATGCTAGAATGAATATGGAATAAATATACTCTGTATGAATAATTATTAAATTTAACGAGGAAATTTGAAAAATATAAGAAAAAAATACCTCTAATACACTCTGAATACCCCTAGTGGTAAGTGCAGCAGTGTTGGCACTATTTTCAGCTCCTAATCTATGAGCAACCAGTATTGTTGCAGCATTTGCTATATAGAGTGAAATTATTGTTAGTGTGAATGCCCACCAGATGCAACTTAATACTCGAGCAGATATGGACCTGTATTAAAATAGAATAAAACATTATATTTATATTATTTTTCAAATAAGTATCTAGCATTTATATTTAACTAATTACGTAAAAAAAACTTAGAAAACACTTGATATTATAATTGATCTAAATTCTTTAAAATCATAATAATTAATTTCAACTATTTTAAATTTCATTCTACTTGAGAAAGTCAATAAAATTTTGATGTTGCTTAGCAATGGCGCTAATTGAGAACATTTTCTTAGACATGGCAATTCTTGTTCTAAACACAGTAGGTGAATATATCTGTATATTATCAAAAGAAAGAAGTAAGGATGTATGTTATTATAATAAAACTAGGAAAATTAGAGATCAGTATACTTTTACGAAATATATAAAGAGTGCAAGAGGGGCAAGATTATTTTTAGAAAAAGAAACAGTATCTTAAAATGTTTAAGAATTACTGGTTTATCTATGCGAGAAATCAGCTCTATGCTCATTACTTCTATAAATTACATTAAAAATATGCTATATAATGTTATTCTATACTGCCTCTCATAATAAATAAAAAACTAATAAGTAAAATAAATGTTAGATCTTCACGGTAAAAATGAAGTGAAATAGTAGCTGGATAACTGGATGTTAATAAAGAGTTTCATATTCCTGTTACTAACTAAATTGCATTCTTGTATAGTTGTTTTCATTTAAAATGTTTAAAAATGAAGAAGTGTTGAAAATTTTTCTGATATAACAGGGACTATTGTATTATGATCTTCACACTGAAGTGAAGATATTAAAATCACCAAAAGACGAAGGAAAAAGTGTTTAAGAAACATAAAACGTTTAGTATTTATTAGACTCTTTTGTTGTTAAAATTATACGAGTATATGTTGTTAATAAAATCATGTCTTATTAATAAAATCAATACGTATTTTGTTAAATAAACTTACTTAGGATATATTCCCGTTCCTCGTAAAAGAAAAGATCCCATTGTGAACCACATAGTGCTGCACACAGTTAACTTATTCTTTTGAGATATTTCGTAATCTTTTGATCGATCTGGTGGCCCAGTAAATTTTGTCACGAAGAATAGTAACGTAGTAATAACAGCATAAGTGACGATAACACAAATCCAAACTTCTTTCGTAAACACATAAAGGAAGAAAAATGGCGTCGTTCCTACAGGATTACTGTCGCGACTCCCAGGCTTTTTTACCATCAAGCTAATGCCAATTGTTTGAAAAGGTTTACTGAACTGTACAACTTGACTTCTCTTACTGTTTACTGTTAATGGTGCAATTGCGAGAGTTGCTTTCTGAAACAAAATCGTAAATCTATATTTACAATAAATAAGCTATTATCTATATTATAATTTACCGATGTAAACATTGAGAATATATTTAACAATTTCTGTTTGTTCCCTTGTCTACTTGGACCTTCTCTTATTAATAGAATTTATTATACTGGTGTACTATACCAGTATAATAAGGTCATATATAGCTATAATATTTGAGCATGAGACAAACCTGTAGATTTTTTTTAACTCTTTGACACCGGAGGTCTTTTTTCATACCTATCGTGGCCCATGGAGACGACCGAACAATGAGGGACAAGACAAGTCAAATGATAAAGTGTTTAACATATAAAAACCGACAACACATATCCAACATATTTACAACACACATCCAATATAATTTTCCGAAAACAGTTTTTTTTCTTCAAATCATTCATAATTCCGGAAACTCTATATGGAATTTCACTGAACACTTGTAAGTAATGTCATAAGAAAAAATGTACTGTAAATCGGAAAAATATCCTAATTTAAAACATATGAAAACGTTATTATTTAGTACTTGAACATTTAATATGTGAACTTGCAAATGTTCAGAAAATTTAACTAAGAATAGACAATCGCTTAATTCCGAAATGATGTGTGAAAATCCATCTCTAGCTATGTCTAGTCTATGTCTAGTTGTCGAGATTGAACTGGAAATAGACTAATGCCAGACATATACACAGGCTATACTGACAGATTTTAATAAATATACAGTGATAAGTATTAAATTTTTTGATATTGCATAATATATTTCAGCACTGAAATGTTATTTAAAAACTTGAAGAATGAAATTAAGCAATTTCATACAGCATGGCAACAGGTGTAAGAAAGTGCAGACTGCGCTTTATAAAAGGCATTCAAAGCAATTAAATTCCATATAACTATATATAATATGACTATAGACAGATTATTAGCTTACATGAAAATCTCGCATTGATAAATGATGATAATGGAATGATAAAGTGAGTCAATGGAAATTCGCAATGTTGACGTTTAACAGAATATAATATAGATAGGCCTATAGAAAAAGTGCATTAAACATGATTACGAAATTTCACTTAAACCAAACCATTGTTCTTGATGATTAAAATAAAATCTTTTACAATACATAAAAAATTTTAATTAATATATCATCATATAAACTGTAGACCTGTCTCAATTGCCTACAGAATTTCCCAATAACTTTATTAATACAAGAATTTACAAAAGAAATCATCAACCAGATCAGTCCAGATATATTAGAGTTATAAGAGTTATAAAAGAATGAATAATAACTGATCTATTTTTTAAAAAAAATCATATATTTATTTGTATGTAAATTTTAAATAGAAAAATGTATTTACCCCACTTATAACTTCACCAATCATTCCAGTCCAAAGTTGTGTTACTGGGTCAACATAACCGTATGTACCATCGGCAACTAATTGTAATCTGTAGCTAAGTCCAAGTTTTTGTATTAGAGCGTCTGCCAAGTCTTTACAAAAACCTTCAAAACAATCATTTCCACTGCAAGGACCCGATTTCTTCATTAAAAACGGTTCGGACTAAAAGTAAATACATATTAATTTACAATTCAATAGAAATTGCACAAAAGTCAAGAATAAAGTTTTCATAAATTTATATTATAAGATATATATATATATATATATATATATATATACACATATAGTCAAGTCTACGTAACAGGGCATTGAATAAGAGAGCACTCTTCTAAGTTTTTATTTTCTCCACTGTTTTACAAAGATAAAACTCAATATCTTAAATTTCTCCAGGAAGTAGTATTTTAATGCACAAAAATGTTTTCAACTCAGTTTATGAATTTCACAACTGATAAAAATCCATAAACTGGGTTAAAAATGTTTTTGTGCATTATAATACTACTTCCTGGAATAATTTAAGGTGTTGAGTTTAATCTTTATGTTTCTTTTCCAGTTCCTCTGTGGTTTAGTTACTGTTTTACAATAGTGGGACTCCTGTTAATAGAGCATAGCTAACAGAGCAGTCCATTTAAATGATCAAGTGTTAGTAGCATTTTTAAAGCAGAAGTCCACATAAGGGAGCATTATTCTAAGAAAGATTTATATTTAATCTTACAGTACATCACCGAGGGCTAAACTACAGTATTTGTTGAGTTTGTTGAAATATGCAGTATGATTAAAAGAAAAATGATTAGAGGAAGATGAAGAAGTTGAATAAGACAAAGATAAAATAGAAAATGTTTGCGAATCAGTAATACTTCTTTCTCATAAAGATGCATTGTTTTACTTAATTAAGAATGGTGAGAAAATATTTAGAAGAAAATTTTATCAACTATAATGCATTTTACAAATGAGAGGAAATGATTGAAAAGAAAGCTGTGAGTAATCATATCCATAAGAAAATTATAAACTTTAAGTAAATTTATTTAGGTTGTTTGTTGCATGAATGGGTACAGTACAACAACATATGTCCATATCTGACAGCACACTTCCATANACCACTTTGAGATTCTACTTCGATCTTTCCTATTGACACCAGTGTGAGGGTTGTACCGGATGAGGTCCAGACACTATGTAGATTACGCCTACTTCTCGAGTTTTTGAACGTTTCTAGATGGCAACAACGCAGTCTCGTATGTAAGACTAGGGGTAAGAGGATGGAGTAGGAAAGGACGAGATTCAGTTGGAGTTGATTCACTCAACACAGTTCACTACACTTAAACATTTATTAGACGGCACGAAAGTTAGCACAACTGGATCGCGGAGAGAGAGATTACAAATTTTTTTTTGTACAACTCAAAAACCTTACAAATCGAAAATAAAATTCCCGTTGAGGATCTTCGGAATGTAGTCCCTCAGTTCGGGAGAGAAGTAGAAGGATGACGAGGAATCTGAGGAAACAGACGAGCACTAATCCAAAAGAGGCACATAAGCATACTAAACTGAACGGTTGAAAGAACAGGCGACGACTGACGGAAATCGGCAGTTTCTCATCATATTCAGAGCAGCAAATACCTTAGAGGTGACTAAAAGTCGCGGGAAAGGTATCACTATCGACTCTGAGAAAACTTAAGTTGACACTCTTTCAGGTCAGATAGTTGACATAGGCTTATATTAGCTTCTGATGAGATCAACCCTTAGTTCTTTTCCTTTTACTTGTTCGATTCTCACATTAATGTTTTGGAAGGGTGCATTTTCTTTGATGACTAAAACTAAGCATTTTTTCCCCAACTTTTCAATAAATACTACATAAATAATTCACTGGTTTGTTGATAGTATCGAAAACTAATGGAAAAACAAAGTAAGACGAGGAACTTACGATCTTCAGGCGGTATGCAACATTTTGCGGCTTCTAATGCAGCCGGATAAAATATAATAAGTGTAATTTTGTAGTCAGAGATTTTAAATTACAAAAGTATGTTTTTGTTCTTTTTTCAATATTACATCCTGTATATGTATATTTTTTGGTGTCTGTAAGCTCAAAGTATGCAAGTTATAATACAGTATGCAGTCTTATGCAATCTCTCTGAAAGGGTATATGGCCTTTCGATAAAAAATGTTTTCTACTTCAATAGATTTTAATATCTTACGAATAAAATTTTTTTCGATTTGCTGTTACAGTTATTTATAATATTCTCTATATATTGTAATAAATATTTCAAATCATTCACAATAAAAATACATACAGTATATTGACGTATTACAAGTATATTTTGAACAGCGCACAACAAAGTAAAATTAACGACACACTTTGCTGATGATAAAACAATATGAATTAGTATTTGGTTTATATACTATTAAATACACTACTATAGTTTATAATATTTACCATTTCGTAACCCGATGGGAGAGTTTCAATAATATCCAGATTAAAGGAATATCTTTCACCACTTGCATCAAATTTCAAATTTCCTGTAAGGCCCATAGGAACAACCGTCTGAAAAAAAAAAAATATTATTTTCGAATGTATTTTATTTAGTAATCGAAACTTTCAGTTAAAAACAATTTAAAATGTATACCTCTTTTAAATATTTATATATTAAGGCACCATGTTCCCAACGAGGTTTCTGTGATTGAAAACAATACTTTCGAGTGCCATTTAAAATGGAAGGTAAATGAAATCTTGGATTGTGGCTTTGAAAACTAAACAAATTCTCGATTGTTTTCAATAGTAATAAAACTCCATCGTATCCTAATATGGCATTCATCTAGAAAAATTTCTTATTTAATACGTTTAAATCATAATTATTTACAAATTTACAGCTTTAATTTAAATTTGTACATACTGGCACATCTTGCATTACGGATAACGAACTGTTAATTTTATGAGAATTGAGATGTTTCCACATGTTCTTGAAATGCATATATTTTTCATTAACAGGATTAACAAGTCGAAATCCTAATAAGTTGACGCTACCAAATGTTGCACTGTTAGTTTCCCAGAAATTATTCAATACCTTTAATTAAAAATATATATTTTATAATTCCATAATGATTATTTCTTTTCTTTTAATTTAATATAACCTACCGGGTCCATATATAAAAAGCTAAATTTCTTTTTATTAATATGGTAATCATGCATGAACAAAGTAATAATTTTAACAACTAGCTTCTGATTCATTTTCAATAGAACTTGCTTCGGAAGCTGTTTGTTTGCAATGTCTATTTTACGAATATATGAAATTGCATCTTCTGCGCTGATCACTCTATGCATCCCAATTACGTTCACTTGATACACATCAGAGGCATAAAGCAATAGCTTTTGGAAATTTTCGGCTCCTGTAAATTACAAATATAAGAAAATAATAATAAAAATAAATATTTAGAAGTTAGATAGGCTATGTATTACGGATATAGACCTATTTAAAATCATACTGATAAATATGAATTTACTTACCATCTTCGGCATCATATAAGTATATAATTGAATTCCAGTTATTATGCCTCATCAGATCTAGAGTTGCTCTGATAGGACTGGGTAAAATTCCAATTCCGAATTTAGTACTATGTTCAGGAGGGATTTCTGGGAATGATGGACTAATCAAAGGTATGTGGAAATTATTAGAGTAAGATGCCAGAGTATTATAAGTTGCAAAAGTAGTAGGAGCCATTATGGTGAATACACCTCGATTCAAAATTTTACAAACTGTTAAAAGATATTCAATAAATTTCGTATTAGAAATTATATTCATAATATAACAGATGTGTTTATTGTTTAAAATGCAAATTTTATGTAATGAAACATAAGAAAATTTCATTTTAAGATATTAAAAATATGAAAATTAATAGTTTTAAATATTATCTAAATGCATATTAATAGGATAGACAATTGCTCTAATGAAAATTATTAACTGTTCTTAAATAATCAATATATACTTCTTTTTATTAGTATAATTTCTGTAATAAGTTTATTAATAGAAATGAAGTTAATTATTTTATGCATTTAATAAGAAAAATTAAATAATTTTATTTTAAAAAAAAATTATTCATATTAATTTATAAGTAACGTCAATTATATTAAATTAGACAATCTTTCTGTTTGCTTCGTTAAACTTGATACTTTGATATTGGCTTAACTAAATAATATATCAATTAAACTATGAGAAGTATTAAACTTAATTATGCTAATTTATCCCATAATAATTTTATATTCTATATCAAGAGCTTTCTGAAAAAATCATCCTTCGGATAAAAATCTTTGTAGAATAAGTTATGAGGCTGCAGTTTGTTAACAAACATCTTTTGTATACACATAACTTTAATACTAATTTTGTTATATAATTTATATAAGTTAGCATGTTCATAAAATGTACGTTCAGAATAATAGCGTGTAAATTGCTAAAATATTAATATTGTTTATATTACGTAACCTCGCAATATTACGTGTAAAAGTATAACATTTAAAAATATCCGTAATGATAAATATTACAATAACAACATCTAATTTAGTAGAAAAAATAATAATAAATAATTCGCTTAGTCTAAATTCAATATTTTTTGAAAGCATAAAGAGTTAAATAAATAAATAAGTTATTTGCTCCCACCTGGATCAGTCTTTTAACCAAGGAGATGAGGGTCAAAACCTTATGATTAATTTCCTAGGGAATGTCGGAAATTTCTATTTTCTTCCTCAACTCAGTAGTATGGTAAATTACATGATATAAGGCTATTGTCACTCTGGCTTAAGCAATAATTATAATACTATAATTTGAGTATATCCCTTTGCCCCATTGGAAAAGTTGCTGCAATATCTTTCTACTTTAATCAAATTATTAATATATTTTAAACTTTACGGATATCAAGAATACATAAGTAAAATACATATTTTTAAAATTTTTTTTAGTTAATAAGATTGCCTAAAAATGTGAAATACTTCAGTAGAGTGCAAACTCAGATTTTTTTATATTGCAAAATTATTGGTTTACGATACAGTATGCGAAATTAAAATAAACACACGTAATAAATAGAACGTTAAGAAGAACTGCAAGAAATATTGCAAAATTTCCAGCAAAATTACAGTATCATATATCCTTAATAAACATTAATTTTTAAGAAAAGTATACCAGTTAAATTCAGAAATGTTTAACACATTTTAAACTATGACTTAATAAAACATAGAATTTTCATAAAAAGGTATTCAAAAGCAATTCACTAAAAAAGTGCTAGATTAAAATACTTTTTATCCCATAAATATATGAATTTAGATTTTTATTTTCTGGTTCATTCACTATTTGAAAGAAATAATTTAACAAAGACTTTTGTAAAGATAATTACATTTAAATTTTATTTTTATTTGAAAATAAAAAAAAATTGAGACAACTGGGGCAATTTCTTAACTAATACAAATTATAAGTTAGGTTCTTTAATAATATTTAAGAATTTGACATACAGTCATTACTATTTTTCTTTTTTTTTTTTTTGTAATTTATTTTATAGTTTTTACTCATTTACAACACCATCTTCTAAAGATCTATTAGAAAGATGATGTATTAGTCACCACTTCTTATCAAATGTATCAAATACTCTTTATAAAAACGTATCTGAAAAATGTTTTTTGTGTGTTCTCAAAATTACAGTAGTTAATAGTCGTGTTATAAAGTTGTTAATGGGTTTTGTATGTTATAAAAAATTATAGCTGATAAATAACAAAAAATTCAAATTTAAAATTCATACTTTTGCTAAATGAAAAAAGAAAAAAAAAGTTATATTTTTAGAATTTCCGTGTAATTTCATTACAATTAGGACAGCACTATAACTGATCGAAATCCAAAAGAAATTTTTATATAGAGTTTATTTATGTATATAAATCGATTACACGAATAATATATCAAATGTAACATATAATTTTTATTTTTATTTTCGAAAATACTTATGATTTGTATACGATTTGTAGATTACAATATATGCCATATCATTATATTAAATACAGAAGACTTACTAAATATGTAATTTGTGTTTTGTATACATACACATTTTAATTTCTATAAACAATTATGTTTGAATTTGTCTCGGATAGAGATGAGAAACTCAAAGCCATGCACGCACGCAAAAGAGATTATTATAAACATATTTAAATAATTTAAATGTGTAAGTTGCATTCGATCAGAACCAATGTATATACATATATTCAATAGTATTTTATATGCGTGTTTATTATAGAATTCAAATGACAAAGATGGTCCTTTAGAGAAATTTAAGCAGTGTTTTTCTATAAGATTAGCTTTTTCAATGATATTCGCATGATGATAAATCATGTCACGTTACATAAAGTTTGGACCCTTTCAATGTAGATGTGTTTGACATAAAATATTTTTTTTTTTTCCTTTCCGTCCTCTCCAAAGCAGTTAAATTTTTTTTATTTGATTAGTTAATTTAAAGTTAATTAAAATTGGTTTCGTGGAGAGTTCGTTACGTCATCCTCACCACCGCACTTTTCGTAAATGAAATAGCGTGCAGCGGTTATACAGGATGCTATTTACAATTTATATATCGCACGTTCGGTGCCGATCGACATTCGTAATTAATTTCGACGCTTTATTTTTGCAAATTATTTTATAAATTTACAAATTCATTTATTTACTTTTATGATAAACAGCTAATCAGTTTTGCAACTAAAATTTAATTCTAATTTGCAACAGCTAAAAAGTTATAAATCATATTGCACTTATGATATAATAAAATAGAAGTTATAAGAATTCGACTGGCCCTCTTGATAGCTTTTTGTAAAGACATATAGTTCATTCTTTACAGTATTTAGTTATACAATGTAAAAATGTGCGCTGTTATCTCTACAGGAAATGAGAAGAATCACCATAATTAAAGTGGTCCACCAGTTGCCGAGTGCACAAAACCTCTGAACACTGATCGGGTGGCGTTTACCGGAGTTTTTCATGTGTGTAACACCAAAATAGGGGCCATTTTCACATAGAAAACCCTCCCGGGAGACATCCCCTTAACAGATCGCCCATGTATTAGGTTGTTTTATTTCATCAATCCTATCTTTAATTAAAGTGTAATAAAACATAATTTAAAACTTTCCTCCAAACAGTCGACTTAGTATTTTAAATTGATATAAATACAGAAAATATCCGAAAGCAATTTATTTATTTCAAAATGAGAATATTTCTTCACGAAACTGCTCAATTCTTGGATTCTAAATACTTTTGGAAATTAAAAATCGAATATTTACCTTTTTCCCTATTATTCACAAATGCAAAGTAAATTCATATAACCAAAAGAAAGAAAGATTTAGTCTATTTTAAAAAATAAGCATGAAAAATTAATTAAAACCAAAGATTTTAATTTTAAAACACATTTTGAACTGATAAATTAAATAACATAAATAAATGAATATATTTTGCTTCTTTACAGCTTAACTGTTTGTTTAATATAAGTATATTTTAAAAGTTAATAAGGAAAGTTACCCTATAAAAAACGTCTCAAGTCAAAGATTCCAACATTTAATGCCAATGTATCACTTATTAATACATCCTCAATTCAGAATCAAGACTAAATTTCTTCACGATCTTCGTTCCGAATAATGCAAAAGAACGTTTTTAGTTTAAATAAAATTATTAATTATGATTCCCGTTACAAATTATCTGTATTATTTTATTAAATAGTTTATAACGTATCTGATTCCCAACTTCGATACGGATTTTAACAAATAAAAAATAATTAGTAGTGTATTATATCCTTGTACCGTATTAAAGAACAATGGCAGATCTATTATGTTCTGTCCAAAATTTTTCAGCTGTTCACGTAATCCATAGGCTTATTTATTAATTGATAACTTATATAACTAAGATTGTAAGATTATATCCTTTAAGATGTACTTTGATATTGTTTAAATAATTAAACCAAAAAATTTCGGTAGCATTAAAGCGAAAAAACATAATTTTCTTTTTTATATTTTTAATAATTATATTAAGTTAAATAAAAATAAATTAGCTGTACATAATAATATAGAATATTTTAGATATTAAATTGCATCTCTAAACAGGAAAATAGTCACAACAGGCGACATTACAATTTGTCGTTCTTAATAGATTTTTAATTATATTAGGAAGAAAAGTGTTTTTCTAATTGTTCTTTAATGGCCGGAGGAGAGAAGGGATGATAGTTTTTCAGTGAGATAATGATGATAATGACACCCTCTAACATTCATTTCCGGCAAGTTGATGATGTAGAATCAAGACTCATTTATCCTTTATTAACATCCATAAAATCGACCTTCTCTTTCATCCATCTAAATGCGCGTTTCAAACTGAAACGTATATAATTTTTCAGAGATAGTTGAAGAAATATTAGAAGATACAGCAAGCTGTTAAATTCATCATGATTTTGACAGATAGATAAATATTTTTCTTAATTTTTTTCTTGCATTTGAGCTGTATTAAAATGAATGATACTATAAACAGTGTATTGTATGTTAGTTACTCTTCTCTAAATATTTGCTTACATCTTTTTCACTTATAGGGCCTATACTTAACAGAGTAAGATAAAACAGTATCCTAATGTTCAAGGAATACACATAATTATCTATTATATAATGCTACGAATGAATATAAATATCTTTATAAAAGAGCTACAGACACAAAATTATCTAAATTAAAATTTTACCTGCTTTGTCTACTTGATAAATATCTTCTTTGTCTGCTTTCTCTACGACTAAGTTCAAAGTATAGGGACTGGAGTCGTTAGTTTCATGCATTGAAACAGCATACTTGATAGCAGTAAGATAAGGATCGTCATCGTCTCCCACGATTACTCCTTAAAAATAACAGAGAAATGAAATTAATGCTCGAAAATATACTATAATATTAATGTAAACTACCTGGTCAATTTATTTATAGGCTACATGCGACGATTATTAGGAGCACGGGATGTGCAATTTTTAAATCGAGGAAGTGGCAAATTAGTATTTTCAATATTTGAGCAATTATTATTTAAAACAAAATAATTATCTTCCTATTAATATAACAATTTGAACACGTTTAATAGGTCACTGCACCTTTTTTTTTATATCAAATGATACCTTGCATCAGGCCTGATCTTATAGTTAATACGTTAATATTTTCATATATTAAATTTCTCTTAAGTTAGATTAAGTTATTTTACGGCACGTTAATGTTCGATATTCATTAAAACATTAAAATCTGATGGTAAATACATTTAAATATCATATCAACAGATTGTTTAAATGTTTAATTGATTCGTCGATATTAAGTATAATTTAACAGAATTTTTAACTATAAAAGTCTAATATTATAGTAAAAATTACAATAAAAATATCCCTTTTAACTACTTCATTTGTATATCTCACACAAAACAAACATTTATACTGTATTGACTATAGTTTAAGTATTTTTATGTGTAGTTTAAGTTGAAAACAATGTTCAGATAATAGAAAATATAAAAGTTAAACAACATAATTACTTTTACGTTCAAGTCTACGATTTATTAAAAAGTTTCTAGCGAATTTTAATATTTACAAAATGAATTTTCTACTTATCACGAAATCGTGATTTAGTTAAGTTAGCATTTATCAATATTTTTCATCGTCGTTTACTTAGTGTAGAATTACTAGCGGGAACATCGACAGCTCGTACGGGGCCCGGGATAGATCGGGCCTTTTTTTTACCAGTTTTTTGAACGAATGAAATACGTAGAATGTTTTTTTTTTAGTAATGAAAGTGGTTTTACGGATTTTGTTTTTTTTTTGTGAGTAAAAATAGCATTTATTTATAGAAAGCACTACGGGCTACAGATTCGTATAAATCAGTTTTCATGGCCTGGAGAAAACTAATTTATAGGGAGACTCTTTCGTATGCAGGGCCTGACTAAAATACTCTATGGCCCTGCTTACTAATAAACTGTATTCTAGCCAGGAGTGTAATTTACCACCCTTGAGAGCTATAAGTTGGAAAATTGTATATCAAGACTACTTTTTCATGCTTATTATTTGATAGTTTGATGTCAATTAGTAAAGCTGTGGTTACTACGCTTAAATTATCAGCAACAATACATTGATCTAACGTTTCTTCATGTTCAAGATTCAAAATGAGAATATTGATAGATATTTGAATAATATTCGATAACAAATTATGATGAATTTAAAGAATATGTTAAATATAATTGTCGTACTTTTAAAATATTCTTAACAAATTATAAATTTCTGGAGAAAACATTAAAAAAAAATTATCCATGTAGAAGATAAAGAATTTGTTAACCCACAATGATATAGAAGATATCGTTGTGAATTAATAAATTGATTTAAAATATAGATTTACTCCAGGTTTCATTTTTTAAGTTTATTATTCATAGAGATATTATTTACAAATGTCTATTTTAATAATATTACACATAAAACTTATATATTTACAATTAATTTAACACAAAATTAAAGCAATAAAATTCGACATTAAAATATTTTCAATATTTGAGCTAATTTTAGTTATTAAAGCGTTGGATTTTATAAGAAAATCGTTGCCACCAATTTATTCTCCTTATTTCAAAATTCGATAATTGAATCTAATACTAAATTCAATCCCCTTTACGAGACAGTTTAACCGTATCTTCCGTCCCATCCAGAAGACGTCTTATCTCTTTTTTTTATCAATAACAAGAATGATCAAGGCCTGAGAGAAATTTAAAGATGTTACGATTACGAAATAGAAAACTTTAATTTCTTTATAATCTATTTTAACAACGTTAATTTTATATATAGATTCATAAATATAAAAGTCACTCACCTATAGGAATCCTATAATAATGGGCCAAAGTGGAATGCAACAGGATAATAATCAATGAAAGAATATTAGTAATGGTCAGCTGAGTCATGTCAGGCTTGTTGGAGAGTTAAAGAAATGTAACTTGACCGACTGTTGTGTATAGTTACAGACTTATGAGAGTACCTACTGATCAACAAGCGGCCGGTAAAGTCAACGCATGCGTGTTAATTCAGGAAGTATCGGTGTCATCTGGACACAACGTGTGACGCAAGGGTCATCGTTAGGAAAAAAAAAAGTGGAAGTTTCGGCAACTTCTTTAGAAACTTATATCCCATTTAAAATTAGAATATTCAGTGTTCGTTGTTGGGACTCATCCCCTATTTCAAAAATGGAGTTTAATCGAAGAGTTTGTTTATATTACCTCTTTTATGTGCAACGTGAGAATAGCATAAATCGATTTAGGTAGATTGTCGAAGGTCTAGCAGTTTATATGGAATTTTATTTTTAATGTGTATTTTTATCGACAAAGGCAGGATTTTTAAAAGAGCGGAGGTTTAAAACATTTCATAGTGTATGATGTTTGAAATATTTATTAACGTAGTAACATTTTTCTGTTTGAATTGTCAAATGGGAAGCGTTAAATCTCCGAAGTCGTGCACCACGGCCTTGGATAAAGGTATTAATTATTTGAATTTGCAACTGAAAATATTAGTTGTGAAAAGTAAATATCTGAAATGTTTATTTTAAAAATAGGATATACGGCAATAAAGAAGGTTTTTAAAGATAAATATCAAAAATTAAAATCAAATTTAAAATAGAATCTTTCTCTGAACTGACATAAAATACTTTACGCGTAATTTTAAATCTATTCTGAGATAGCTTTTAAAAAATATATTCTATGAAATGAATTAGAAAGATTAAATATTTTTGAATTTAAACTGAAAAGTTTTTAATCTACGCATAAAAATTCTTCAATGTATATTAAAAATTTTAGTGATTATTGAAAGACTTTTTGTGCTAGATATAAACAAACAATTCAGACAAATCTAATAACTGTAAATTTTTAAACTGGGAATAAGAATACAAATTAATTTATTTATTCTTCTATTATAAATAGGTATATTTAAATATATTCAACAGATTTATAACAAAAGAATGCATTCTGGCATTTAAAATTATTACTGCTTCGGAGTACAGTAGTTGCTAATCACAATTATGCCTAGAAGTTAAAGAAGCAGTTGTCGAAATATATCCTTCTATCATAATGTGTTGATATATATTTAAATATATTATACTGTATATGTTTCCATTAAATTAACCTGTTAAGAATCCCTTTCTTAATTTTCAAGACATTTTACAGTTCAATACTTTTTATGCTTGCTATGTGACATATCACCATAAAAAACTTATTTATGCCTATAAAAAAAAAGAATTTAACACGGGTAAAACGCACAATATTTTGAATGTTTAAACAAACAATAATTGTCAATAAATCATCTGTTATAATAGGATCTGTAACTGGAGTATAGATTTAAGAAAGGAAAAAAGCAATTTGTTTGCAGTCTCTTAGCAACAATAGTCAAACAAATTTTAATTTTTAAATTTTCGTATCGCTATTTACTCTTTACTTAAATTTAAGTCGGTCATAAATTAACTTCAAGAATAATTATTTGTATTTACTTTGAACAGAACCATTGTAATTTCAGAATGTTTCATTTTTTTTAAATTAAAATAATAATAAATTGTTAAAAATTTAAAAAAATTGATTACTTCTGACATTCTTATAAGTTAATGATCTGTTTGAAATTTAAAAAAATTGATTACTTCTGACATTCTTATAAGTTAATGATCTGTTTGAAATTTAAAAAATATGTGCATTCTCTTCTAATATTTTGTCTATTCGAACTTGAAATCGAAAGGAAATAAAATTCCTTCCCATGATGTAACCGAGATAATTAATGTGAGGATGTTAAGGTCGTTTCTAATGAAAATCTTTAGTGAAAAGATAATATGTGCCCTTTGATCTTTGAAGTTAATTTGCTGATTGGATTATAAGAAGTTCTCATAGAGGAGTTTTTGTCTTCCGTTATGATCAATATATCTATATAAAATACATGTATAAAAACTACATATAATTGNAAATAATAAATTTCTTTAATAATAATAATAATAATAACATTAATAATAAATAATCTAAGATTTTTTAATCACAAAATACAAAACGTAAGAAGTTACTAATAAATATCTTATACTATAAATAAATTGTTTTATAAGAAAGAGCAAATTATTTTAAACTTTAAATTTTCGAATTTTATCTTAAAATGGCATTATGTATTTGTGTAGAGCTTTTAAAACTTTCCAGTAATCAATACAGATTATTTGAAATTTTATTTTAAAAGTTAATTCAAATGTAATATTGATTTTTATATAGTAAAACACCGATTAAACGAGGTTTCTCATTATCCGAGCTTCTATTTACTGAGGTTTCTCATTATCCGAGACGAATCCGTAAGTGAATAAACTACTTTTCTTGTGCTGTTATTCATAGAAAGAAGTTTAAAACGATAACATCAACATTACAAAATGATTTTCTTCTATTACCTATTATTATTTAATCTTAATGTGAGATAAATAAATTCATATTAAAATGTAACTGCAATAATACATATTTATTGTTAGAAGGCGTCCTCACGATTCAACTATCATTGAAACCGTGAGTTGACCAGCAGCTTGTTCCCATGTTTCAACGTAAAATTGAAAGAACGGTAATAAAATGGCAAATTGTGAAATTCTTGAAGTTTCAACTACTGTACTTGACATTTGGTTGTACAACAAAAATCCCATTCAACTTTCGTTGCTTCAACTAGCCAGTTCAAGTTAAAATCAGATTCACATACTGCAATGTAAAATATGTTCAACCGACTTTCAAATTCTGATTGTTCAACGATAATTGAATCGTAAAAATGCCACTTTACTAACAACCTGTTTCGGTATGATTGAACGATCTTAGTTCAGAAGTTGCTGGATAAAATCTAGCTTAGGCATTTGTAATAGCTTTTGTTTGGGTCCTTTCTTGCGTATGACGTCTGTTCATCTTTCTCTGCGATACGGTCGTAAAACAGTTTGATATTTTACATCGACCTCTTCCTAAATAGATAAGATTGGCTGGTCCCGTCATACTTCTGGCATATTTGGTGAAGGATATAATCGCCTAAGTTGCTAGACATGATATTTCTCACCATGGTGTTCCTACTCATTAGTGCCCGTTTTTTTTTTGTTTTTTTTCTCTCGTTTGGTATGGTGCGGAAGAGATTATGGTTAGATTGCCTTAAGACCGGTTTACACGCTCATTCAATTTGCTTAAATTGATTTGTACAATCGAATTTGTACAAATAAATCGTTGCGTGTAAACAGAAACTCGAACTTAAACTTTATATAAACCAAAAAGTTTGACATGGATGAAATCTGTTCTGCCAGATATTTTGCATGAGATTTGCAACTGATCTTGTAGGCCTAAGCAGATTCAAACCTAAGGCACAAGCAGTTTGACATTCAAACGAGATGGCACAAGATTTGTCTGGTACGCAAATATACTCTATTTTGTTTCTCAACGATGTCGTAAAAGAAAAAGAATTTTCTTACCGAATTTGTCAAACATACAAGTCATTACGTTTTTTGAAAATTATATTCAAAGAACAGTAATCGCAATGAAAAGTCTAAAGCATATGAGGTTCTGATTTACACAATGCAGACTATTGATGCAGATGGAAACAGAGATAACGTTGTGAAAAAACCTTGAAAGTCTTCAACATTATAATACTTTTTATGCTTAGAAGATGCCCAAGTCTTTTATGTGTAATCTCTGAGATAATGCCATTATTGAACTTGACTTTCTTTCCTCCTTCATTGAATTCACACTCTGATCTAGCCACTACCTTGTACACACCTCCAACATTAGATACTGTAGCAGTGCAACTACCCGTAATTAGACAGTTACGTTTTGAATAAATTTTACATTTCTTGTAATTATATAACACTAACAGGCCTTTTTCAGTTATTTTACTTACAGATGTAAAGTAACCACAACGTCTGGCGCATACATAGCATTCTTTATTGCATATTGCTTACTGTTCTTCACAAACACTGATATCACCAATCCTACAATTTGCCCATCTTGAGGATTTAGTATCGGCGATAAAATCTCTTTGGATTCTCTTAAGAACATCTGAAAAGGAGCATCTCCCCAAAAGACTTTGTAAGCCTCCAATTTACATTTAAAATAAACGGATTTAAATTGTAAAGGTGCCTCGCCTCAGTGTATACAACACCACTACTCACATACAGTCTTTTACTCTTCATTCATCTTGACTAGAGTCTAAATGACTACCCCTTCCTCGGTCATACTTTTCCTGTTAGCAATCGAGATGTCAATATAACTCTTCATGGAAAAATTTCGAATTGAATTAACATGACTAACGGAAGTTATTATATAGCTAATCGGGACTTTCTGCTCCTAAGCTTTCCATATCTGGTCTCGTCTTTCATCTATCCAACTCTATTCCTTAGATTAAGTTAGGACAGACTGACATAAAGACAAAAGACGGTGGGCATTTATACAGTAGATCTACAATTTTTTCAAATTGCAACCAAGTATATAGACTAAAGGTTCCTCTCACGAAATCAATAATGTATTATCACGGAATTATCCATGAAAATAACCATCCGTAAACAATATAAAAAATATACTATAAAAATAAGATATAAATAGTCTATATTCATATTGACAAAAAGCTATGCTGTTATCTTGAAAATATGGTGTTTTTAATAATATAGTTAACGTGTCAATTTACGAAATATATATCCGATCATTAAAGAATAATTAATTTTATCACGAATTTACTAATGTTTACCCTATACGATTCCCTTATCTCCTTACCCTCTCGACCTTTAACCACCAAAATTTAATAGCATCAATGTCCCTAATAAGCAAACCTCCGTGCAAAACTTCGTTTCTTAATTGTTACCCAATCCCGAAATATTAAATGAAATAGACGCCAACACACACATACATATCCATGAAATTTCGTTTCCGTTTTTAGATTCAGGAAGTCTCAAAACATGTAGATTTGCAACAACTAGGAGGGTCAAATTTGGACATCCTAGTTTTTTGCAAATCGTGTCAAATTTGACAAGATTCCTTTACATTCCCTTGTTATGTATACATAAAAGCCGGGAAAATAACATAGAGAAATACATGTTTCCAAAACTAAGGACGGAAAACTATTGTACACGAGTAGAGAGAACCGTAGACGAATGCAGACAAATATGGCAAGAACTGTATTATTCGATGTTTAACATAGAGTAATTCACAACAACTTGTAGGATTTTACAAATCAAAGCAATAAAAATAAGTCTTTGGTGAAAAAGATACACGGCACTTTTACGTCGTGCCATACTCGTCACCGAGTGACTTTTTGTAGCTATCACCGCTAGCAATTGTGTCCTTAAGTTTTCGACAGGTGTGTAACTGGAAAGAAATATGGCTTATATCATTTGTGACACGACCAGTTTTTCTTTCTTTTTTTTTTTGTAGAGTTTTTTTTAATACAATCCTCGTTAATACAAACTGCCAATTTTAAGTCCAATTTTTATTTCTTATTCAAATTAATATAACTTATATAAATATTTTTAATGGTTAATAAGAAAAATTTATAGTTATTTGCGAATTATTTATATTATATAGTTAACTTGTTTAATAACTCAATAACTGGGTTCTGCATTCAGAGAATATAAGTTTATTCAGAGATCAAATTGGATTACCGAATATAAGTACTGTACACGCAAAGGCATCGGACGTACAAATCCACCTAGTTCGATCCATTCATTGGTGCTGTTCTTAGAGTAACAAAGGGAGAAGAGGAGATTCTAACGAGTAAAACAAAAGAGTTCATATTTATACATGAACAAAGGACTTTGCACAACTTCACTGGCGAAGACGAGATTTGAATCTCAACATAACTGTTATCTTTTATTTCTCACTTGTTCTAGAAATAGACGATAAATTTCAAATATTTTTAGTATTTTTAGTTACTAGCCTCGTACATGTAAAATATTTTTAAAGCATTAATTTTAATAACCAAATATCAAACTCAACTTTTTAAATACTTAAAAGACCTTTGAAAGCTGTGAATACATGTAATAAAAACTTAAATTTTTGTGTGCAGATAAACAGCATACTGGAAAATTATGTGGAAAGCCATCATGGATAAGGTCCATTTGGAGTAAACAGACACTTAAAAATTGTATTTTGCTGAATATTTCTGTTTTCGATGAAGCTATCCATTCTTTGTATATAAATGTTGTTTCAATGTTTGAAAACGTTCGTTTATATGTTCGATTTATAACGTTAACGTGTAGTTTTAAAACGTTCATAAAATTATTTTTTTTCAGCAAGTAAGGTGCTGGAAAATTTCCTATTTTCAATGCTATCCACTCCTTTTAATAGCTAATAATACTCGTATAAACGATGCTGCTAAAAATAATGTTTTCTTATTATGAATTGAAAACAACTCGCATGGCCACGCGCTAACCTAACCACCAGTCTTTCCAGACGATTTGTTTTCCATCAATGCTTTGTTTCGCATTGCCTTTGAAATCATTCCATGTCAATGAAAAACGTTTATAAATTAAATCATTTGGCGGTAGACTATTGATAGACATGTTATATTAAAAATGTTTTCATATCAAATTGAAATATAACTTTTTAGATTACAGCTTATTCAATTGTCAAAGACAAATTTACCTCAATAGGAAAAATATGGATAGCAAAATTTAAGTTCCTCCAGAACAAGTCGAAAAAGTGATAATCTTAAAAATTGTTTGTATTGTAAAATACCCAGAGAAATTCTTCTCTTTTGAGAAGTTAAAAACTTTTTTAAAACATTTAAAAAAGTTAAAATTAAAGATTCAAACGACTCGTTTTTTATCAGCAGAAAAATTCTTTAATAAGCCATGTTACCTCCACATTGTAATAAATAATGTTTGTTATGAGGCTTCCCTCGAAAATATACACCGCAACTGTACAACACAGCCACAGTTATCCAATTTGTCAAGATTAATTTATCCACAACAATTACTTAATCCTATAAATTCTCAACCATTGTCCATTTATGACTGTGGAAATAAACAAAGTCATCCACAAGCAGAAGGAGAATCATCACCTACACAATGTTTCGGCAACTTCATCAATTAGTATGTGGTTATTATTTAAATGTTAATTAAGTACACAAGTAAGTAGCCTATATATCTTTAGTTAATAAAGAGTATTAACTTACCTTCAAATGTTGGTATTTTTATCAATACTCTATACATCTCATTACATGTTTCTGAAGATATTTGACTAACTTGTAAGACCAGGCTTTGAAATGCATATGAAATATTTTAAATATTCATAACTTCTCCCTGCGGCTAAAAACCTCAATGTTACATTTAATCGTTCACGGAGAGTTATTGCACGTCTCACAACAATATTTTTTTCCAATAAATTATGTAAGTAAAGTTAGCAACTACTGGCAAATTGTCTCGTCCATACGCAAATAGTTGCACTTCGTAATTCCATAATTAAATTAGTATGAGAAAAAGAGTCTCTTTTTAGCGACTAACTTTTACACCATCTTTGTTTTCTCAATTTTTCTGCTTCTCTTTAATTAAACAAACCGTAGCAACTGGTAACAGTAAGTCAATGTTTTCTACTTAGCTCAGTTTTGATAATACTGTATATACAATCCAAACAAAAACATCTGAGTTGTAAAAAAATTGCGCCAAGTAAAAACTTATAACAATTTAGACGACAGTCAAAATTTTTCTTGGGAGTTTTTCTTAGGAGCTTGGCGCTTGGAAACGATACGTAGACAATAATACAGGTAAAAATTTTCTGAATCTTGATGGTACCGCTTCGAAGTTTGACCGGCACCTTACTGATAACGAGAAAGACTTAAGTTTAAAATTTGGGCTATCTAGACCCATAAGTTTTTTCTCTACGAGCGTCTGCGATGCCGAATGAAGGCAAGAAGAAAATGGAGTGTTTTTGCCGACTTTTGCACTTTTCAATTGCTTATATTTCGGCAACGGCTTTATAAAAAATCTTGAAATTTTGAACACTACCTAAGAAAACAATTATCTTTCGAACGAGATATTCGGAATTACTTTAGACGTTTGGGGAGAAGAGAAATCGATCCGCAAAAATTGGTAACTTTAATTAATTCTTGAATATATAGTCAGTCAATGACTTTTATATTTGGCGGGGAGTTACCGCCGTGACTTTTGAAACACAATACAGTATTATAAACGAGTCAAGAAATATACGCATAGATATGTCAATAGTTGGACTTTGCTCCTAGAAAAACTGACAACAAATTAAAAATTTATACAATCTAAACTAAACTCAGTTCAATAAATAAATGTTACGAAATAAACCGGCAATAAATGCACCACTCTGCCGCTCTCGGGAATCCGGGTTTGAATCTTGGTTGATTCAGAAATTTTCAAATTGAATTGACTCGGTTACGTCAAGGCTATCTCTTACCACGATACAATCTTGTTTGATTGAAATTGGGCTTAGCTCCAAGGTTATGTTGTCTTGTCGGTACGTACAGTACATACCTGATAGAATTTTTGATGGGGATGATTGCAAGGACCTCGGGGAAGAAAGAGTAAAAAGAAAAACAAATACGAGGTGGAGAGAATTAAAAATGAAAAGATAAACATGAAGAAAAATAGACAAATGAAATTAGATAAGGCTTTTATAATTCATAAATAGACCAACATTATATTATAATGTATTTCATTCGTTCGAATAGAAACTTTTAGGAATTTAAAAAAAAATTATATCGTATCTGGCAACGTTACCGTGTCAAGATAGTCAAGATGGAGGACGATCTGCCGACAAATTATGATATCGTCGTTATTGGCACAGGTTAAGAAATAAATTAATTCATATATACCTAAGAAATATCTATTATTGCATTTGTTGTAGTCGTTAAATTTTAGTCAAAATTATTTATTGAGTGATGATTAAATAATAATTGTTAACTTTTTACTTTTCAAGTTTTACAGTGACGTTTAATAAGTTTCGGTGTACAAAGTAAACACTGTATACAGTAGAGTCTCGAAAACTCGGCCTAATGTGGACCGAAGGGTGGCCGAGTTTGTGAAAATGTCGGGTTATCGAAAATGGGGTTTAAAAACAATAAGTAAGAGTGTTTCCTCAGAAAATACTGTACTGTACTTGTAGGTATTGTTTACTTGAGAATACAACAGAGAATAAACTGCCCAAATACCCTTAAACAAAAGAAAAGTACGTACTTTATGAAGGCATAGAGCCTTTACTACATAAAAATGAAAGTTAATGAATACTCAGTATACAGTAATTTACCTGATAAGACAGATTTCAGAAAAATGCTTTATGAGGCATAAAGTTGTTTATAATGAAAATTAACTAGGTGGTTTTTTTCGTCCTGCCAGGGTGTGGCTGAGTTATCCGGACTGCCAGGTTATCGAGTGTGAAGTTTTCGGGACTCTACTGTACTAATAATATGTTATAAAGATATCTTTCATCTCAAAATGTTACAGTGCTAAAAACATTTAGATAATCCACATTTCACACGTAAATTGTATGTTGTTTTTGTGTATGTCAGGTGATTAATAATGCTTTGTTGAGTTCTTATTTATATACCATTACTTTATTATTATTATTTTCGTTTGGTAAAGAAAAACCCTAATGAAAAACTTTGAGTCTTGTCTAAATTGTCATAATTTTTTACTTTCTACATCAGATGTTTTTGTTTGAATACAAATTGTTATTTGATTAATGATTGAGCTATTATGTCAATACCTAAGACAATTTATGTTCAGTACGGTTTGGTTGGCCCTTAGCCACGGTGGCTGACCAAAATGCTTTCGATACACTGTTTAGTAAAAGTGTTATAAAAAGTTTTAATTTGCATAAATTTGAGCTTTTGTTATTATGGATAACATTTCAAATAAAAATAATTTGTTTTGATGAAATTTTATCCTTTTGAGCATAAAATTAAGCAATAAAAATTAAAATCTCTATGGAAAATCCCATGAAATTTGATCTACCAATCCAGAAGTTTTGCAAGTGCCTCGCTGATAATGAGAAGCTTATGTTTAAAATTTGTGTTTTCTAAATCCAGTCATTTTTCTAGGAGTGAAGTGGTATGCAGTGCAGGGTGAAGAAAAGAAGAATATGCAGCTTTTTTTTCGATTTTTGCACTTTTTGATTGCTTATATTTCAGCAACCCCTTTAAAGAAAAATCTGAAATTTTTCACACTACATAACTTTTAACTTTTGAGTGAGATATTCAGAATTATTATAGGTATTTGGGAGTGGAGAAATTGATCTCCAAATATTGGCAACTTTGATTTCTGTATATATAGTCAGTCAGTGATTTTTTACTTGGAACTTTACTCAAAAAGAGGAACAAATTAAGTGCTTTACTTTTAACTTCAATTAAAATATCAAAAAGTATTTTTTTACTTATACATTGCTAACATAAACCGTATATTTTTATTAAAAATGTTAAACTTTGGTTTCTAAATATTTACAAAATTAAACCATAAAGTCATCATGTATTTAAAAATTTTCATGTTAAAAAATTTTGACAGTGTAGATCTTAAAATCAGCAATTCATTAACAAATTTCCATTTTTAATGTCCTGTGAGTTTGTGGAGAAGCTAAATTTAAAAAATATAATTTGCTGTAAATGTAGCAATCTTATAACTTGTTTTCTATATTTCAGAGATTTTAATCATCAGTTTATATAAGAAATATAGCTATACAGGCCACTTGCCACAGTAACTGGGGATGACTAAGCAATCTGTATGGTTATATTTTTTAAATTAATGGTCTAGAAGCAAATATCATTTTGTTGTTATGTGTTGTTATAGGAATTTTATGTATGAATTTTTATTTAAATATGTAGGAGTATATTATGTAATAAGTCCACAAATTTTATACACATATTAGAAAAAATATAATTTAAAAATTTCAACATTAGTTTAAAGCTTCTTTGACTAATACATATATTAGAAGTTATCAGATTTTTAAAATTCAGAATTTTCAAATTTAAAAATTTGATGAATGATAGTTACAGAAATTTTATATTCAAAATTTAAGCATTTAAAAACAATTTTTTTTTTAAATTACTATTATTATTTAATATATTATGATTATTATTTATGATAAATTTAAATTGAAAAGCTTAATCTGTTCTAAGAGAAGACTACAAAAGTAATTAGATTTAATATATTGAAAATAAGTGATCATATTTTTTAAAAAACAATATAAAAAAGTTTCATGTGTTTTTTTTTAAACTTGCTCTTCTCTGTGGGCATTAAGAGGGCCTTTTTTTTTAGCAAGCCCATTATGAGTTTGTCCAGGCTTACAAAGGGACAGCTGGGTGGTGAGAGACATGGCCTGACATATTTGAATGGACCACCCCAAAAAATTGTTAGGATGTTTTGCTGCATAACTATTTGTAAATGAATTATATTATTTAGTATATTACACTGTTGTTATTTTTTCAAATTATAGAAGAAAGAGGAAAACAGATTAATAAATACGTGTATTATATATAAGTGTACTATATATTTTGATTAGTTAAATTTTATTTGAAATGATATTTTATTTAACTGAAATTTAATTTTTTTTATAAAGGAATGCCTGAATGTATTATAGCTGCAGCTGCAGCAAGAATTGGAAAAACTGTGCTGCATTTGGATAGGTAATGTTAATAAGTGTCTTTTTATTATATGTATTATAGTTCTAAGATGTGCTATTTAATTATTATCAGACTTCTTACACATACATTACAATATACAATATAAAATGTCTTTTTATTCTGTAAATGAAATGTATAACTTTTTATCTATGTGAAATTCTGGAAATTGTAGCAGTAATAAAAAGATGTTGTTTTGAATATAATATAATATATACAAATAAACTCTTGAAAAACTGGTATCATTGAGATTTGGTTGATGCTGCACTTTCAAGTTTTTCATTATTTTAAAATTTTTATAAGATAAAATAAACACTTAATACTTTCAATAATGAATGATATCACTAATAAATAAAAATAAACAAGAAATTTATTTTTGAATGTAAATTGTATCTCACAATAAAAGAAAAATGCACTAGAGAAACAGATACAACAGAAGAATATTAATGTAAAGTATATGTATCACTCTGAACACCTACAGGACTGAATCTGTTCAGATTGAGATGTTCAGTACAGAAGAAGTGAGAAATAACAGAAATAATCTGAAAACTAAAAAATTTTAATGTATTCAGCTAAAAACAAGAATTTGAACAATTTACAAGTTTAAGATTTCATATACAGCCTAACAAATTTTTCAACTTGAACATTTCAAATCTTAATATAAATTATTATATAAACACTGTATCATACTGTATTGTAAAACAGCATTTATATAAAAACAATACAGTTATGAAAATAATCTGTTATTTTGCTTTGCATGTAGTATATTTGTATGTAATTGTGTATTTGTGTTTTCTAATTACCTTAAACTATCAAAAATGTCTGAATTTACTTTTGTGAAAATCTCATTATTTTTTTAATATTTTCTCCAAATTGCTTGAATGAAATCAAGCTTTCAGTGCACTTGATTTCTTCTTCATAACTTTCAGATTTCAGTAAAGTATTACATCATCCAAATCTTTACAATTGTTATTAACGGGCAATTCAGCATCAATTACACCATAAGAATATGCTCAGTTCACTATTAAAAGCAGTCAACAAATAGGTTAGGTCCAAGTTTTCTTGTGGAACAACATTCTTTGCATAGTCTTCTGCTGTTGAGAATCTGGCATGAGCATGCCAAACTATAGGGCAATTTGTCTTTGACTGCATTTTGATTTTAGTCTTTGTATGACAACTTCATCTTCTAAATTCAATTCTTTGCACAGAGCCATTTCTTGATATTCATGATATTATAAGCTGATCACACAATTAGTAGTGGGTCATACACAATGACTATTAAACAAGAAACATACATTCACACACTCTTTCTTTGTTCTACTTCTAATTCTTCTGTTAAAAATGAGAACAGTTCACAACTAACTAAATTCTAAAACACCAACCAATAAAACATAAATGTATGTAAAAATAAACTAGAAACATGCAACTGCAAGGCATTTGTAGGAGAATATACATGATATGTTTTTATAAGGAGAGTTCAGATTATGGAGTTTTAATGTCAATAATTATGTAAAAAAATCCAGAGTGAGGAGATATTCAGATTTTAGTGTTTAGAGTAGCGAGAGCCTAATATGTGCAAAACCTGTTAAGAATGGAGGTCTGTTCAAAAATAGGGAGTCAAATATATTTTCAAATTTTTTATACAAGATAAATTATGTATTTGGTAACTTTTTTCTTTCTTTCTTCAGTAAACTTTTTTTGTATTTAAAGTAAATTTTTGATATTATGTTCAACTGTTTTGAATTCATCTGAATTTTTGAATTTATTTAAAAAATTCTGTTGTAAAATATAATACAGTTGACTTACCTTAATTAAATGAACTCTGATAAAGCAAATTTTGCCATTGCCCTTGTCACAGTGTTAATTGTCATGCAATAAAACAAACAAAAATTTTACCAGAATTTGTTAAATTGAACTATGAATTGCTTTCACAACTCGAAGAAATAACCCTTTTTCCAATAATGGTTACTTTTTACACTTTTTGACATGAAAAATAAAAAGTGGTACTGTAATAAATATTCCATTTTGAGTAGAGTAGATTTTCTTCTAGTATACAAAGACAGGTTTGGTCTCTGACTGTAGAGCAATTCAAACATTTGGTTTTAGAATACCATTCTACTGTATTCAGAAAATAGACGTTAAGGTTTAAGGACACCCACTTTCTTAAATGGATGCATCCCATGCTAATGCGTGCTAGTTTACATATCAGGAAGTGCATACAGTGGTGCCAGGTCAGCTACTTTGCATTAACTTTGGCTCTTTTTTTACTTCTTTTAGCATTAAAAAGTATTTTCTACTTTTTTAAACAATTTTTAACAGCAAAGTTATTACATATTTCTTTTTGTATTATTTAACCACTCTGATATACTGCTCCACACCTCAACAGTGAATACCATCTCCTCATTTTGTTTGACTTGAAAATTATTTAGAACATTAATTTGTTTTTGTAAATAATCTTGACCCTGAAAATCATTAATATAAATTTTAATAAAGCAAACTAACTACTGTTCCCCTAGTGATTTGTAATTATGTGAGTTGACTGTAATTATTTTTTAGATAGTTGAGATGTGATTGAATAGCACATGAAGCTGTTGCTTCTATAAATATATATTATTGTATCTTATTAAAGTTTTCAAAAAGAAAAAAAGATTAAAGTGTAAAAATGTGGAATCCTAATATTGTGAACAAATCAGTAACTTAATGTTTTACACAAAATGATGTTATAAGCTTTTATATTAATTAAAAATATTTTTGTTTAATTTTTTTAAGGCTACATCAATTACAGATATTTGAACAAAATGATTGGCATAAACTTCAAAAAATATTCTAGAAATTTTCATTTTGGAATACAGCTTAAGTTAAAAATGCTCTCTTTAAATATTTAAAAGAAAAATGTACAAAAATAAATTAATACACTAATATAAATTCATACCAAATAAATAAATATGCTAAAATACAATACAGTGAATTATATAAATACAGTAATAAATAAGTAAATGTAATAAAATACATAAATAACAAAAATTGCAAATTATGAAATTAAAATATTTAAAAAAAAGTGATAAAATGATTTAAGTGGGAATCAGATGCAGATCTAATACAAAGTGAAAACGACATCTTGGAGATGGAAGGTGGTTTGGTTTATAGGAGTTTTTTGGATTTCAATAAGTTCAGTTGTTTAGGAGAATGACCTAGGTTTTGAACAGGAATAATGTGTGTATTGTCCACCTGCATATCAAGGAAGCCTCATTCCACAATGATTGTAAATTGTTTTTTCTGTGGTGTTTTTAATCACAAAGGATATTTTTAGAAGAAATTATTTTCTATTTCTTAGTTTTCAATTAGTGATTTTGTATATTTCTACAAGTTTTAAAACAGTTTTTAAGTTTTCAAGATTTTGACTGTTATTAAAAGAATAGCATATTATTTTGTGTTGTTTTTAAATATCATTAATTCTGAAATTTAATTGCCAAATCTTGCACTCTTGTATATTTACTTGTACTTTANATACCAAATAAATAAATATGCTAAAATACAATACAGTGAATTATATAAATACAGTAATAAATAAGTAAATGTAATAAAATACATAAATAACAAAAATTGCAAATTATGAAATTAAAATATTTAAAAAAAAGTGATAAAATGATTTAAGTGGGAATCAGATGCAGATCTAATACAAAGTGAAAACGACATCTTGGAGATGGAAGGTGATTTGGTTTATAGAAGTTTTTTGGATTTCAATAAGTTCAGTTGTTTAGGAGAATGACCTAGGTTTTGAACAGGAATAATGTGTGTATTGTCCACCTGCATATCAAGGAAGCCTCATTCCACAATGATTGTAAATTGTTTTTTCTGTGGTGTTTTTAATCACAAAGGATATTTTTAGAAGAAATTATTTTCTATTTCTTAGTTTTCAATTAGTGATTTTGTATATTTCTACAAGTTTTAAAACAGTTTTTAAGTTTTCAAGATTTTGACTGTTATTAAAAGAATAGCATATTATTTTGTGTTGTTTTTAAATATCATTAATTCTGAAATTTAATTGCCAAATCTTGCACTCTTGTATATTTACTTGTACTTTAAAGTAAATATAATGCTCATTTCATGTGCAGATATATGATTAAAATAGTAGAAGAATTAAATAAAAATTACAATAGAATGGAAAACTCATTTAAAAAAAAATCTTAATAAATTATTGTCACATCACAATACTAGACTGAAATTTTTTATCATATTTTATTTTAAAAATTAATTTGGGCCTTTAGCTCCTAAGCTTTCCTTAGCTGGTCTCACTTTTCATCTATCAAACTTCATTCTCAAAATTAACAAAGGACAGACAGATGAACAACATTGGGAATTTATAAGTCTGGGGTTTTAAAATTGCAGTCTAATTAAAATAAAATAAATGGGTGCATTGCTTAGTAAAGCAGCTTTAATACAGCTAAGATAAGCAAGCAAATATAAGTACAGTAGAGCATTGATTATTCGAATCAATTGGAGATTAAGGTTGTTTGGAAAATCAATTTTTTGGGTAACCGATTATGTATGAAAAAGTACATTAACTATTCCATGTTGAAATTTGTTCAAATCCTGGCACGTCCTTAGTACCCTCTCATGGTCGCGCCAGTGCTGCCAGCTAAAACATGCACACCAACAAAAATAATATTGGAGTAGCCCAAGACATAGCCAAAGATTGCAGTGCCATAGCACTAGTGGAAATTTAAATTTGCCAACTGGAAAGCTTTCGGTTAATTGACGTTTTAGTTGATCGACATTTGGATAATCAATGCTCTACTGTATTTCATTTCAAATGGATTACATCATTAGTTTGCTTATCCAGTTATATTTACTAGGCAACATGTTCAGTGTGAGACAGCTGTTCTACATTTATATTCTATAAAAAAGAAGTGGGTAAAAATATTTGGTCAAATTTAGATATTGTGGTAATATGCATAAAATTTTATTATTTAATTCAAAATCTCAAATTGCATTAAGTTAAATTGGAAGATGCTAACTTTCAAATTTTTATGATTCTGATATAAAAATTTGAAAGGTAAGATGCTTTTAACTTTTAAATGCAATTTAATAATTTTCAATACAATTAAATTACAATTTTATCTACATTTTTATAGAAATGATTATTATGGAGGTGATTGGGCAAGTTTTAATTTTGATCAGTTACAAAGTTGGATTCAGAACTATGAGGTAAAATTTTATTATTAGTTATCTAAATCTTTAATTAACTTTAATTTTTAAGTAAGAGACTTATAATTATTGTTAAAATTGTTATTTAAAAGTTAAAATCATTAAGTTATTTATATTCAACTTTTGTATACAGTATATTATTTTACTTAATGATTTTAACTTTTTCTCAGTTAAAATATTTTGTGAACAAAATCATACTACTACTATTAATGATTATTTGAGGTTACTAGTGATTCCAAATTCAGTTAAGCATTAAATAATTTTTTAAAATTTTGTCATATTAGTGTATGGTCTAATTTTTCTATGTATTTTGTATCATATGTTTGCTTATTAAAAGTGTATAGGCCTATATTAAATTTTTTAAAATCAAAATATCAAAATCATTCAATTAAAATGTATTAAACACTACAAACCTTTTCTAACAAGCATTTCTCAGATTTAAAAAAATGAATANATTTAAAAGTGTGTCTCGAATTCTTACATTAATGGATGGAGTGCTTAAACCTGTGAGTTGAAATAATTATTTTTTGTTACAGTTTATATGTTTTATAATTTATAATAATAAATTTTTAGGTTCCATGTTCTAGAGCTGATGTTTTTAGCACAAAAAATGTCACTGTAGTGGAAAAAAGAATGTTGATGAAATTTTTGACATTTTGTTTAGAATATCATAAACATCCAGAAGAATACAGAGGTACAAAGTAATAAAATATATTGTATAAGACTAAAGTAAGAATTTTATAAGCTCTATAATGAAAATAAGTAATATTATATATATATAAATAAATAAAGTTAAATACAGTAAACCCTTGCTAACTTCAATCCCATTAACTTGGACTATGCATAACTTGGACAAATCTTTCAAAAAATGTACAATAATTTTAAATTTGTTGACAATAGAAAAATTATAATTTTTTATAGCTGAATACAAAATCAAAACAACTTTAGCCAGATCTACCTACAAAATTCAGTAGCTAAATTGGTAACATTAGATGCATTATCAACTCTGCTACCTCAACATACATACTGTAAGAGAATCTAATCTACTAGACAGATACTCTCCAGACAGGTAAGCCATTTTGACAAACAGTTTCCAGTGTTTCTGAGATTGGGTTGGATATACAAATGTTACATTGAGCTGAACCATCTGTATGTTTGTTTATAATCATGACTTCAAAACACATGGTCAGAGGCACTTCTTGCTTGAAAGATAAAGATGCTGTCAGTAGGAGACAAGTTTAAGATACTTGAGGACCATGACAAAGGCATCAAATCTGCTCAGTTGTGCAATAAATATGGTGTCCCTAAACAAACCATATCTGACATTAAATGGTCAAAACAAAAACTGTTGGCACATGCATCTAAATTTGATGTTGGGAAAGAAAAATATTCAGTCAGACATGCAGAAAGTTGATGAAGAACAGTTAGATGATGCTGTTTTTAAATGGTGCACACAATGTATAAGTGAGCTACCAGTTAGAGGTGTTGACATCCAAGTAACAGAAAGATTAGGGAAACATTGGTATTGATGGATTCACTACAAGTAGTGGATGATTGCATCAGTTCAGATGACACGGTTTAGTAGACAGAAAAATATCAGGAGAAAAGTTGAATACAGATGCAGAATCTGTGGAGCCATTCAGATCTGAATTTCACAGAATAATCAGAGAAGAACATTTATTTTATCCAATTGTATAATGCTTGCAAGTGTGGGTTTTGCTGGAGGGCACAACCTGAAAACATCCAAGTATCAAAGAATGATAAAATGTTCCTTGTCGGAAGTTGATGAAAGAACTCATTTCTTTTCTGCTATGCTCAAATGCTTTCGGAAGTCATATGCTTAAACCAGTTGTAGTCAGAAAAAGCAAGGAATCATGACTATAAAAGGCTATAAAAGATGACATGAACAGAGTACCAGTCAATTATTATGCTAGCAAAAGTGGTTTGTTTATCACAAGCACTATTGAAGACTGGTTCTTTTATCATGCCAAGTCTCAGATAAGACATATGCAAGTAGAAGACAAGAAAATTCCTCCAAGTGAATTGAAGGAAATAATTTGCCATCACATTCAACAACTAGACAAGGATGGAAAAATTTGATATTTTGTTCTTCCTGAAAACATTTTGTCACTGAACCAAGGAGTCCTTTTTATGGGCAAAAAATTTTACAAGAAGAAATTCTTGATGATGTGATGATCATTTAGGAGAACATTGAAGATAGAGAAGATAAAAATGGAGAGAGAACCTTGCAAAATTTAAAAACTTATCATTTCAGATCTATGATTTTTAACTTGTCAGCTACAGTAAAAGAAGTTACAAACAACTTTACTATACTGTATTCTACATTGTACAGTACATTGTGCTTAGTGTTCTAGAAATAACTGTTTTAGATATCTGGAAATCCAGTAGTCTTTGCAATACTTTTTATTATTGTTGTTATTATTTGAATTATGCTCTTCTCAGCTTTTACTGGAAACATATAATGTGGAAGAAAGTTTAAATGATTTAGACTTGGTTGTTGAAGCTTTCTTCTTACAGTGTGGCAGGTTTGAAGACAAATGGATTTAGAGATCATATTTTGAATGTTCTGATCAAAAATGTTTAGCAATTTAAAATTTTTCGCTAATGATTTGGGACAGATAACTGTTGAAGATAAAATAATTGGTACTATGTATATATATATTCTTCAGTTTTCAAATTCTCTGTTAAGATTTTGGTATTTTGGATTTTCTCATTTTCAGCTTTTATAAGACTTTCAGAGAATGGGTCTTGTATAGCTATGAAATATGCCTCTTTGAGGTCTTTCAATATTACAATAATATCTGGATTATTTATAGTTCACACTTTGTTTGTAATCATCATCACTTGTTCCAATATAAGACAAATTTTTTTTACTAGAATAGATGGAGAGAATTTATAATATGGTGGAAAAAATGTTAGTAAGTTATACTTTTTAGCTAGTTTTTGATATAGTAACTTAGCTACCTGATTGTGATGCTTTTTTATATTCAGGTAATGCTAAAGTATTATATCCAGTGATTATAGGCTAAATTCTTATTCTCATGGACTAATAGGGCCTGCATTTGTCATCTGTATCATTTCCTAGTATATATTTTTCATAGTTTTTTGCATTAACAACTTTTATATCTAATATAGCAGAGAAAAATCTTTTAATACTACTTTTTGGATGCCTGTTTCTAAATTTACACATCATTCATTGCTCCTGTTGTTATATCTAAACCATCTTTTAAAATCCTTTAAAATCCCAAAGAAATATATCAGCACTATTGATGCATATATATTTATTACACTTTTGTTTTTCCAAAAAGCTCTGATTTTAAAATATTTCTAACTTTATATATCTTTTTTTAAAATGATTTTTTAAATTTGAATAATTAATTTCCATATTTTGATATATACCTAAGTATTTATATAAACTTCTACATACAAAGAACACCAGGATGAAATCAACACATACCTTGAACATGTTAATTCGATTCTATTTTAAATATTCATATTCTATTTTTGTTCTACATTCCGTTGCTTGTTTTTTTCTATCGCTTGAGGAAGAACTATTAATGTTCGAAAACGTTTGCGATATATTTATCCATCATGTCACCCACAGGTAACAGGTGTGTTTATATACTGTGTTGTTTTCAAGACACTTAATAAATTGACCATAATTTAAAATTCTCAATTATATCAATTCTTTTGTGAGCCATACTCATTGTAGCACACTTTTCTATTCTGAATTTTATTTCAATAACTCTACTAAAATTCTTTATAATATCTATCAAGTGCATTAGCTGATTTTCATTTTCTGCAATTTTAGATCCTTATAGAGATGTGATACTCTTAAGTTTTTCTCTTTCTGTTCCAAATTGTAATGTTATCCAAATTCTATGTTATATCCAAATTGTAATGTTTTTAGTAGAATGGAGAGTATGTTTCTAGAGAGGATAAACCACACAGGCTTTAATGAGTATCCTTGCTATATCCCTCTTTTATCTGATTCTCATTGGATCTTGTTCTTTGTACATGTAAGTGTCTTCACAATGTTCTCTAGCATACTTATAATATTATTGCCTATACCATGTATCTTTAGGATGAATATTAATCAACTACAGGTAACATTACCCAAAGCTTTCTTATAGTCTGTACTAATGTTGGGCTGTAGTTTTTAAATTTTACATGATGTTGATTTATTATCACAGTGTTTAATTAGTTGCTCTTGGCAACCATGTGATTTTCTAATACTTCCTCTCTGCTCAGTAGTTATGTGATTGCTAAACCCTAACAGTGTTCGTATATAAGATTAGTAATCATACCTCTGAAAATTTTGTAGATTGTTGGTAAACATATAATTGATCTGTAGTTTTTGGAGTTCTCAGCATCTTTACTTTTATATATTATATATGTTTTACCGAATATAAAGTATTTGGGTACAATTTCAGGATTTACAGTAAATTTATTTAAGTTAAAAAGTAATTTTTCATGGACAGCAGTAAATTTGGCTTTGAGTCATTTAATCATCATCATCTTTAATGCCAAAGTTTCTACTCCATATAAAAGAGTAGACCATATGTTATATTTTATCATTTAGAGCCTTATTTCAGAATCCAAGTGGCAATTGCAGAACAAAGATTTCATTTTCATAAAATTCTGCTGAGCAACTTCAATTCTGGTTCTCACTTACATTTCATCATTGATCTGTTCATTAATCCAGCATCCCAAATACTTAAACTGTTCTCTTTCAGTGTGTAATCCTCTAAGTGTTAGCGTAGATGAAATACTCTTTTTACTTCTTATCACCATATATTTGGTTTTGTTTATATTTTTGCTCATATAAACAACACAATGCTTTAGAGACCTAAATAAAATACATTATATAATTATTTCTTATATATATGTGTATATATATATATATCTATCTGTGATCAAAAAGTATTGGAAATGGTTTAATAAAATGATGCAAGATTTTATTTATTCATCAAAATAATCTCCTCCCATTGCAATCCATTTATGCCAAATTTTTTCAATCTTTGAATGCTTTAGAGACGTTTTTGTGACACCATTTCAGGACTTATAGTGAATTTTGTTTTATGGCATTAATCTACTCAAAACAGTGCGCTCAAAGTAGAAATTTTAGTCAAGGAAACAGGAAAAAGTCACATGGTGTCATGTCAAGTAAATACAAAGCTTGCAGAACCATATTTGTTGAATTTTTCACCAAAAACTCACAAACAACAAGAGCATTTTGAGCAGGTGCATTATTGCAGTGCAAATTCCATGAGTTTTCTCACCACAAACCAGGTCATTTTCTATGAATTGCTTCATAAAAATTATGCAAAAAATCAGCACATCTTTTATTTTTGACTGACTTTGAAAGTAGTCTTTTCGGTCTTGCTTCACCTATTCAGTGCCATTCACATGATTGTTGAGCTGTTTCAGTGTCAAGGCATAGTCCATATTTTATCACCTGTAACGATGCATTTTAAAAATGATTTGCCTCAAGAAAGCATTTTGTTGGTCACTTGTACTTGTTGTTTTTGTATATTTCTTTTTGGGGAAAATTCAATAGTTTTGGGATGACTCGAGAAGTAATACACCACAAGCCTAAATGATCTTTTAAAATTGCTTGACAATATCCAAATGATACTGGAACATGTTCAATAATGTTCCTAATTGTTAAACAATGATCATTGAGCACCAAATCTCTGACTTGAGTGATGTGTTTTTCATCAGCTGAAGTGGATGGTCTACCAGAGTATGGTTCATCTTAGACATGTTCTCTGGCCTTTCTTGAACAACTTATACCACTTCAAAACTCTTGTTTTTGATAGACTATTGTCACCAAAGGCTTTTTTGCAACATTTTCAATGTTTTTGTAGTAGTAATTCTGTTGCAAAAATAAAATTTAATGCATGTTTTTTGCTCATGTATAAAATATCAATGTAAAAAATGACAACAGTGCCTTGTTGCATGCACATTGTTTAAATAAACCATTCCTGATACTTTTTTTCATCACAGTAGTACACACAAAATAAATTATTCATTTCATTAGTGAAAGAAGTCTCTTATGCAAATTTGACATCAATGATTCATTACTTCTTGCTTGATAATATCTTCAATGTGCTCTATCACCTCAAAAATACCTTGTTTCAATATGTGATGTAGCTTCTTAAAGCCCCTTTAAAAATTTAAAAAGAGAAGACTTTTTATAAAATTTTATTGGATAATTTATGTTTTAGAATAAAGTTATTACTTTGGTGTGAAATATCATTAGATTTTTTTATATTTTTGTTCATGGTTTCTGATGTGTTGTCATTTCAAGTAACTTTGTCTATATATTTTAAAGATATATAGACAAAGTTACTTTGTCCAAATGATTGCAGGTTTATATCAGGCTATATTATTATTATTATTAATTAAATGCTAAGTAATTTTGCACTAGAGGTAAGCATTAAATGCCATCTCTTGCTAAATTTAATAATTATAATTAATATTTTAAGAATTAATTTAGAAGGTTTTGGAAGAAAAGAATTGGCCCGAAGCAGGACTCAAACCTGCAACTCCTTCTTACTGTACAGTCATGTTGCCAGTTACACTACTTGGACTTTCATCTGATCTTCACTTCCAGAATCTATTAATTTAGATATAACCATACTACTTTAAACAGATAGCCTATCAGATTATGGCTACAATGAAAAGGGCTTATCACAAGATGAGAAGGAACTGAACTCAAATTATTCAAATATAACTTTACTGTTATTCCATTACTGTATCATTTATAATATCAGTCTGTAAACTATGTTTGTTACAATATTTTAGATATTCATTGTATTTATTACTATATATCCAAAATTCAATGGGCTGATTAGGGGTCTATGTACCTGAAATGCATTCCCCAAATTCATTAAAGTTATATTTGAATAATTTGAGACTAGTTCCTTCTCGTCTTGTTGCTATAAGCCCTTTTGTGATAGCTTTAATCTGATTGGCTATCTGTTTAAGGTGTATTTAATTTTGGGCAAGAAGCATACTTAATTAATTTATAGTCCTACTTAATTACCTACAGTGCTGGTTTGAGATGACTTGGTGCTCACAGTCTACACTCCCACTATTCTATTTGAGCATGATGTATATATTTTCAAATTTACATAATTAAATATTTGTTTTTATTTCAAGTTTATTTTTAATGTGGTCATTTCCTCCTGTCCTTCTAAAAGTACAAAAGAAAACATACAAAATTAGACAAGAAATAATTTACAGGAACTCTGGATTTTGATTTAATGAGAAATACAACATTGTCAGAGCTATTTTAACTTAGGAATATAAAATACATTGAGTTCATATGAGTTATGTCAAGATGAAAATAAATTTTGATTTAGCAAGAGATCAGAATTAATGAAGTTTGACTTATTGCATATCAACTGTATACATGTTTTTCATAACAGTCTATTCTGTTTTTAGTCATAATGTTAAATGTAAATTTTTAAATGTTTGAAAGATTGCTTAATATGTTTTACATGTATAATTTTGTGTGTTGTGATTAGGAAACAAATATAGAACAGACATCAAATGAAGAAAGGCAAGAATATTTATCTGAAGGAGAGATGTATATACATCTTAAAAGACAAGTATCTAATGTATCAAATGTCTTTGAATTGAGTTTTATAAGGTATGCAAACAGTTAAATTTTTTAAATAATTTATATGAAGAATTTAACTTTGTTTATAAAATGTAGAGATAATGAAGATGAAATTACACAAGAACAAGAAAATACATCAAATGTACATTGTGAAGAAAATATAAGAAATGAAGAAATTTTAACTAGTTCTAACAATATTGTTGCAAATGAAACAGTCTCTGAATCAGAAACAGAAGCAGTAGTTAATGATGATGTACAACATTCTGAAATTTCAGAAAATCAGGAACATGATGATCATGTTGAGTCTTCAATTGTAAATTCTGAAGAAACAGGAAATGAACCAAAGAATTCTGAAGAAAGACATAATGAAGAAAATACACATGCTTTAAAGTGTAAAATTAAAAACTGGACTCTTACAGCTCTTAAAAATCAATACAGAAAATTTAATTTAGATTTATCACCAAAAGTGAGTTTTATTTTATGGAATCTACTAATTATTTATTAATTAACAAATAAAATACCAATATAAAAATTTTTGTTAAGTGTTCACATTGTTATATTATTTAGTTTGGCTATTATTTCAGATATTATTTTCTAGAGGTTCTCTAGTTGAACTGTTAATATCTTCTAACATTGCTCGTTATGCAGAATTTAAAAGTGTGTCTCGAATTCTTACATTAATGGATGGAGTGCTTAAACCTGTGAGTTGAAATAATTATTTTTTGTTACAGTTTATATGTTTTATAATTTATAATAATAAATTTTTAGGTTCCATGTTCTAGAGCTGATGTTTTTAGCACAAAAAATGTCACTGTAGTGGAAAAAAGAATGTTGATGAAATTTTTGACATTTTGTTTAGAATATCATAAACATCCAGAAGAATACAGAGGTACAAAGTAATAAAATATATTGTATAAGACTAAAGTAAGAATTTTATAAGCTCTATAATGAAAATAAGTAATATACTGCTAGCCATTAAAGTGTTGCAATATTAAAAAAAGTATGAAATAGCAAAGCAATATTTTTATGGCAAATTATTTATGATGCACATTGCACATTATTTGAAAAACAGCTGTAAAAAAATATATGCGGAACAAATAGTAATCAGTATTTGGTATATCTGCCAAGGACAGTGTATCATATACAGGAAGAGATGCTGGATATGTTTGAGAAATGTTAAGCCATGCAGTCTGTACATGTCTAAAGTTCATATATAGTAAATGCTAATAAGCTCTGGCAAGCCAGTTGTATTACCTTGTCTCAAATGTGCTCAATGGAGACATAATGGTTATCTAGAAAATATAGATCATTTCCTGCTGTGTAGTCATACATTGTTTTGTTGGAATATGGCAACAGAGAACTTCTGCAGATAGAATACCATCTTAGTCTTTAACACCTCTATGGTATCACTGACTGATTAAAATACTTGCAATCAATCAAAAATAGAATTGAAATGGAACCCAGTGGCACTCATATCATAATATCTTATGTTGAGGCAAATATTCCTTAAGGCATTGTAAAATGAATGCCTTAAGAAATATTTTACTGTGGTGCCTCCAAACAAATATCTGTTCATCATGGTGCAATAAATTGAACTGAAATTTCTCTACTAATATAATGCAATGCCATTTTGTAATTAGCAGCCTTCTAGGCACCTTGTAATTGCAGCCACTTGTGGTCAAGGGTTAGATGGCATGCACATAATGCAACAACAGATTTTTGCTTCATTTTTTACTTCCACCCCCTTTTGTATACAGTTTGTCATCATCACTGCTTTCCCCATTTGCGCAATCATATGATAAATGTCAATTAACAACAGAATATTCTGAAATAAATGAATTATTTTGTATATGCAAACACTAGGATGACCTCCCTTCCCCCTATATCAGCATTCATCAACACCCTCCTGAAATCCCACCAACTTGATTCATTGCAGTAAATGCATGCTACCTTAACTGTAGCCAATGGACAGAAACAAAAGGTTCCACTGCTTTAAATAGTATGTATTAAACAGTGCAAGTGGACACTTGTTGACATGTGACAGACTACCACTGTTGGGCTAGGGTCCATAATGTAACTACAGTAAGACCCTGCTTAATGTGGGGATACATTCCTAGATGACAAAGTGATAAACAAGATCATTTTAACACAGAATAAATAGGGAAAGGGGAACACACGATCAAAAATAAACAGATTTTTAAGTTATTTTTATATTAATTTGCATAATAATATATGTTAAATAACACATAAACATACTGTATGCACACAGAAATGTAAAGTTAATCTTTTGTGATCATTTAGCTTTGATTAAAAACATTGAGCTTTGAGATGTTTATATAACTACAATAACCTACAGTACAGGAATTGCCATCAATCACCCAACAAAGTTCTGAAAATTTATTTACAGTCATTTATAAATTATTTATTTACACTCATTATGGGAAAGTCCAGGGGTGTAACTAACATCATCTGCAGTGCACCATGCTTGTCATTAGTTTCATCTGTCTATCTTGCAGGTTTTGATCAAATAAGATGCATATTTTCAAGTGATGCAATTTTTTAGTGGCCAGCAGTGTATAATTAAGTAAAATATTAAAAGAGGCAAAGTTTAGTTTTTACTCCCAAAAAATAAATTTAATAATTAAATAAATATTAAATTTATTTGTTATAATTTTATTGGAGAGTTAGTTTTGATTTTGTGTGTTGAATATATTTTAATTTTGAATGCTAAAAATTAACCTTATGAAAACTTTAGTCATTTTGATATTTATAATTATTTATAATCTATTTATAATCAATATTTTACTTCTTTATGCAGAAATTATTTCAATTAGTCTGCAGTTATTGTTTTGTTTTTTTAGTACTGGTTGCATGAATTACTGTTTAAATTGCAGAGTAAAGCTCTTTTTCAAATATTTAGCAGTATTTTCTGTTGACTTATTTGGATTAGCTCTTGGCTTTTATTTTTTTAACATATCTATGATAGACATTTTTAACAATGTTTTTTTTTTTCTTATACAGTCGACCCCCCCATAACACAGTAGATACATTTTGCTTTTTATGAATCCATTTTCTACGAGTCCAGCCAATTACAGCCTGGCATGTATGCAGTTTACAGACTACGGCTGTTTGAAAGGTTTATTCCATAAAATTAATCGATTCTAGACTAATTCGACTCAATGTATAATTTTTTGGAAATAATCCAAACTATGCTATAAACAAAAAATTGTAGGATTAATTACTGAGTGTGCACCGTTTGACCACGCCGTTGCTTAAGCTTGTTTTCGTCGTGGAGCTTGTCATCAAATGGCACATGCGTGCTTCTTGATAAATTATTTTTTTTGCGAAAAATTTGCTGAACTTTGGAGACGTCATTAATATAAATATAATTTTTATGGATGTTAAATAATAAATGGTTTTTAGTAGGTCCGCTGCTTGTTTAAACTCAACAGTTTGTGCAATATCCACTATTGGTCTAGATTCAACCAATCCTGTTGCGACACGAGTTGGTGATGATGTTTTACCAAATTATAGGAGATTTTTTAGCATGTTTGTACGAATACTGTCGCAATTTTTTTGCCGTGATATAGGAATCTGAACTATAGGAACCTGTGTTATAGGGGGGTCGACTGTAATTAGAATTTAAAGTAATATGAATTATACATTAAATTCTTTCCTTCATTTTTAAAGAGTTTCTTGATATAATTTTAATATTTATAATATAATTTGTGGACTATCATAAATTATTTCATTTGTAATAATTGCATTTATTTTTGATTCAGTATGCTATGTTAATATCAATACATTTTATACATGTTTTATGATTAAAGTCCACAAATCAGACAAAAAGCTAGGATTAACAAGCTAATGCTTACTTTTTTCTGTCTTTTGGTTAAAGCAAGTAACAATCAATTTATTTTGAATCTTATCCTTACAAATTGTGCTTTATCCAAGTCACAAGCTGATAGAGCTGATATTATCCAAAAACAATTGGATGAAGTGTGAATAAAAATTAATATTTGGGCTTTATCTTCTCCATTTTGAATAAAGCAAAAGAAAATTTAGGGTTTTACTTTATCTGGATAATCTGCAGTTTTTCCAATTCATGTTAGGTTGAAAAAGAACATATTTTGTTTTTTTAAATTAACTAGAATTTATTATTTCTCTACTGCATAAATATGAACTGAACAAAAATAAATATCACCATATGTATCTAGTAATTTCTCCCTCTGATCTTTCTTCCTTCTTGTAGCTTTAAAGCTAAAAATTGTAAATTTAACTTTAAAGTAATAATAATAAATATTTTGATTTAAAAATATTGATATATACTTAGATCTTACATGGTATATACTTGGAGTTGATCATAGTAATAAATACAATTGAAAAAAATAAGGTAAATGATATAGTTATTGGTCAGTTAAGGAATTTTATTTAAAAATTCTATGCTTTATACAAAGTTCAAATTTAATAAATTGTTATTTGCTTCTGGTGTCTAAATTATTGTCCTTAACGAAATGCAGCATATAGCATACATTAATCTGGCCTGCAAACATATTTGACACATCACTTATAAATGATAGAAATAGGCTTACATTTGATACTTATGGAATATACAAAAATATGTCATAGATAGATAAGCCACAAATAAGTGACTTACCTATCTATGACTTAGCTCAATTTGGTCCACCAATTGAAAAGTTTGAGCAGCATTGTTTTAACCAAAAAACTTGAATAAAGTTAGTATTAGCCAGTTCACCCTAGTTCTTTCAAATTCAGAGATTTCAGCTGTAACATACTTAACTTTAATTATCGGGTAATTGCAATTGAAATGGCCATTTTTTAAAATTTAAACTTTCAGGCCTTGTAATTCAACTTTCTCCATGTGAACAGTGCTGTTATGTTTGCAATTGGAAGAGCACACATAATATGTGAATTTAAAAATATGATCCTATTTATATTGTAAGTTCTAGTTCTACATGTTTAAGAGTATTTTTTCTGACCACATGGAAAAAAGAAAATTGGATAATCTTTTTTCTTTTTAGTATGAGCAACAATATAATACAGCAAAGCAACTTGAAATACCAATAAAACTTTTGGTGAAGGTTCTGTGAATGAACAGACCACCAGACCATTGGTTTAAAAAATTTCATTCTGGAATACAAATCTCAAGAATCAGAATTGAAGAACATCATCAAATCAGAATATCATCTAACTATCCAGGAAATTGTGGAAAGATTGAACATCCTGGATATTATTCAATCTTTTCTCTACAGCTAAATATGTTGGGGAAAGTCAAGAAGCTTGACAAGTGGGTGTCACACAGACTTGGTGAGAGAGATAAGGAGCATCATTTGGATGTCTGCAGTTCTTTATTATTCATCACATAAGAGAATAAGGTGAATGGGAAAAAATGAAATTCTTTCCCATTCACCTTATTCTCCAGACTTTTTGCTAACAGACTATCACTTTTCTATACATTTGGACAGTTTTTTGGCAAAGAAAGTCTTTAAGGAAGAGGATGCAATAAAAAGTACCTTTAATGACTGGCTTCTTATTCTCATGATTTCTATCAAATTGGCATTAATGCATTTGTAATGCATTGGAAAAGTGTATTAATGTTGGTGGAGATGATTTTGATTGAATATGTAAGCTTTAAATTAAATTAATAAACATTCAGTCAGAAGTAAAAATAGGCCATTTCATTTGCAACAACCTAATACAATCTAGTATTTAAAATAATATATTTACAGTATTTCAAATTAAGTTTTAATTTGTGATGCTCAAAAAGAATTTAGATAAATAATTGCATAACATAATTAAAATTTCATGTATCATTAAAATCTTTATTATTGTCTTATTTGCAAAAATATATTTTCATAATTATCATAT